TTTCCTGTCGGAGATCCGATATTCGATGGGAACGTCGATTCCCGACGTCCCGTAGGAATGTCAGCGAAACATGACACAACACTTTATTTTGCTTTTTTTTTTTGAGTTTTCTTGTTCCGGGTGGGGGAAAGGGAGGCAAGGCGATAAATTCGCTTTTACATAAATTAGCGCATGGATTTTATAGTACATTTTTAATTGAAATCGTAAATATGCCCTGTTTGATCAATAGATGTACCAATATCATAACATGCAAATAAATGCGTTCCTTTCCTTTTTTTTAGGTGAGAATTTTGCAGTGGCCGAATGGATTCGTCGTGAACAAAAAGAACAGTTGGCCCTGAAGGAACAGCTGCAAAGACAGCAGCAAATGATTGAGTATGCATTTTTAACATCGTAATTTGCTGGTTTCAACCATCGTAAGTTTAGTTATTTTGGCCAGCTATCGTGTCTTCATATCAGCAAACTTGCCGTGACTGCTGGGATTTAAGCTGTATCACATGGAAATCAGCCTGCTGATGATGAAACAAGCGCCAATTTTTGTGAATCCGTGTTTTTCCGAAAAAAATATGGATGCTTATTATAGGCTTATTAAAGAGTATTCCCTCCACTTATTCGGTAGCCGCCAATTTTCCCTCTATCTTGTCTGTAGCCCCATCATAACTAATTTTTATCTTAACTTCTGCTAACTTCAATTACCATAAACGTTGTTTTGACGACGAGGTTAAACTGTGGTAATGGTAAGAAATGTATACGACTTAATGGTCCGAAACACTTCTTACTATTGTAATTAACAAATCTTCTAATTTTCATTTTTTACCTTTTTTTTAATTCCTCTCTTTATTTCATTCCTTCTTATTATAACTTTCTGTTATTTGTCAGTAGATTCTGCACTTATTCGTAAAGCTGACATTTATCGCAGCATCTGTACTGCTGTTATAACGTTTCACGTATGGTGACACTTGTGATCATAAAAAAAGGTGACAGAAGGGAATTACTATAATAGTAAGAAGTGTTTCGGTCCATTATGTCGTATACATTTCTTACCATTACCACAAGTGGACTTCGTCGTCAGTACAGCGATTGTGATAATTGAAG